CAAACCAGACCAAACCAGACCAGACCAGACCAGACCAAACCAAACCAGACCAGACCAAACCAGACCAAGCCAGACCAGACCAGACCAGACCAAACCAGACCAAACCAGACCAGACCAGACCAGACCAGACCAAACCAGACCATACCAGACCAGACCAGACCAAACCAAACCAGACCAAACCAGACCAAACCAGACCAGACCAGACCAGAGCAAACCAGACCAGACCAGACCAGACCAGACCAGACCAGACCAGACCAAACCAGACCAGACCAGACCAGACCAGACCAGACCAGACCAGACCAGACCAGACCAGACCAGACCAAACCAGACCAGACCAGACCAGACCAGACCAGACCAGACCAGACAGCTTCCAGTTCAGACCCACCATCTGTTTCAATAAACCTTTTAACCTGCAACCCGCCTCTGGTTCAGAGTCACCTTCAATTATCACCTGTTGAGAATAACCTACATGTCACATGCATGCTTAAAGTTGAACACTCTTATTCAATATATACTAGATTACTGGTATTATTGAGACTGTCCATCATGGAAGACCTGCCCACCTGGGTTTGAACCGGCAACTTTTCTGTTCCCACCTCAGTCACGGGCTCCAGTTAACCACTTTGAGAAGCGTTTTCCGTATCTTTATGTGTGATTCCGTGGATGGATCCATTTCTTTTAAGTGTCCCTAAATAAAAAGCATAGATAGAAAATGTATTAGTGTTTTACTTTTAGTAAAATGTAACATTAATAAGATTTGCCCCCCCCCCCCCCCCCATGGGGCAAACATGCTTGCAGAGATCTGCCAAAATAAAAGCACTCTTTATTATGAACACATAGTAGATTCTTGTTTTTCATCGAAAACATCCATCTATATAAAACTACTGATATAAGAAAGGTTTTATCACCGTAGAGTTATTTTGTTAATATTGTTTGAAATGCAAACAATATTAATTAGAAATTTTGTAAGCTCTCTAAACTAAGCTGTTAAGACATTGAAGGAATAATATTGGAATAAACCAAAAATGTAAGTCTCAGTTAATAACCTAAAAGGTTACTAAAAATAAACAAAAGGTGTTTGATAACCGAAATAAATAAAAAAATGTTTAAAAAAATGTTGAAAAGAAAAGAAACTAATATTGACCATAGACAACATCGAAGGCAACCAATTGACGGGACACGAGGAATCGCGTTGCTCGCCGTATTGCATCATCTGAGGACGCTCCTCCCATTTCTGCAACCATGGAAACCTTAAGTATAATGACAATTACAAGACAACGTTTGAAGATCAGGATGCATGAAACATTTTGTTTTTATTAATAGATCTGTTATAGTTTCACACATATAAAGCTTAATTTTATACATGGACAAAATGTTTATAAATGCATCAGTTTAAGGTCGGCCCGTTACGAGAACAGACAAAACTTATTGTCATTAAAACGTTTTGAGACCATTTTAAATAACAAGAGTAAGAAGACTTTCTCAAAGATCTATGAACTTTAAAATCTAATGAATAATGAGCAATGCAACTGGAAGACAATTTAAATATAGTCTTGTAAACAAATGTGTACTAATAGAAACAGAAAAACCATAAATCATGGAAATTTGTTTTAATTTATGATGAGATAAGTTAATTAATTGCTTACTGCAACCAGATTAATTTAATGTTAATTTTTAAGGAACAAAAATGTAACTTACAACTCCAGACATGACGTCTGAGTCACCCAGCTTCTCATTCATGCTCAGGAGATCATTGATTGGAAAAACAACTGCTCCTCCTCCAGGCGGTTCAACCAGCGGTGAGGCAGGTTTCTGTCTCAGCAAAGTATTCAGCAACTGTCCGTGTAGTTTTAGTGTTTCTCTGACCTCCTTAAGAAGTGTAACTAGACGTGTAAACATCAAGCTGGAGCCGTTCCTGCTCCATAAAGTCCCAGGACTCATAGAAGGACTTGCAGTGTGGAGCTGGTTCTCTGCCGGCGCTTTCCGGGGCGTCTCTTTCTGTGCACACCCAGACTATACACTTTTCAGGCAGATCTAATTGTGGTTCCCAGGGAGGAGAAGATGGAACTTCATTCTCCGAAGAGTCCACACCATCTTCACTTGATGATAATAAACACCTTTTTTTGGAGGATCTGAAATGATAAATCAGAATTTAAAAAGTGGCAAGAGTTGGTAAAGAAAAGGCTGAGGTCTATTTAAACTACTTTAGGACTTTATTTCAAGTTCATTATGAGAGATGCAGAAAAAAGATCTTAACAGGATCCAAAGGATAAGAAAAAAATACAGCTATGTAAAATCAACAGGGAAGAAAGTTAGGAAAATGGTAATTAATTGAATTCATTTAAAGTAGGAATGTGGGGAAAAAATACAGTAAAAGTCAGAAGTACTGGCATTTCTTCCTGAGTAGTTTCCTATTTTAACCAAGATGTTGCTCCTTTAAGCCCTGAAGGATAAGGAGGAAAAGGTAAAGCCAGGAGAACCAAATGGGTAAAGGAATAGAGAGCAGCTCGAATGGCAACTAGGAAGGCAGAAGATTGAAAGTTTAAAGTTTTAAGTCCCGGTTCCACTCTACCTTCTCTTCTGGGATAAGATTATTATCTGCTCTTGCAGGCTTTCGTCATGCTTCTCCATAGCAGTCTTTACAAAATACTTTTTTTTAACAATTAACACATTTATAAATGTAAAGCTAAAATTTTTCATACAAGTAAATGTTTATCACCTGCATTTCCAAAGACAGGTACACTGCATATCTTCCAGGAAGCATCTGGCTGCAGGTGTTGCTTTAGTGACATTTATACCGAGGCCAGAAGCACTGAACCTTGTTTTCATCTGTAAACCAACATGATGGGATAATATCCACCAACCTCTTTCCCTCTGTTGACTCTTCACTGAATTACATGACGCTGAAGGACATCATGGAGGTTCATATTAGTAGTCATGTAAGTGAGGAAAGACAACATGGCCGTCCTGCAAAGGAAGGCCTACCAGTTTTTTGTCAGGCTTTTCACCGATACGCCATAAAGATGGTCAGAAAGTTGCGTAACACTTCTGATTCCCAGACAAGATGAATCGATAAGGTATCTGCAGAAACAGCCTTCTAGTTCATAAAATCGACGCATGGCTCCAGATAACAACTGGATTATAGTCCTTACTACAGCAACTTTCCCATCAACATCAAAAGTTATCTCCTGTGCAACATGATATGACAGTTGGCTCACGTCTGTACTGCCTGACCTGCATGGGTGCAGGAAAGTTGGACAACATGAATGTGGAGTTTGAGCTTTATTCTGTCTTCCTTCTTCTCCCTGAATGGGCTTTTCAGCTAAACGCCAGACGATTTGTTGGAGAGGGTTAGGGTTAGGAAACTAACGAAATTAGTCTTTGTACAAGTCGCTTCAATGTCCCAAGATAATTTTCAAACAGAAAAAATGAAATATTGTCCAAGGCGCCATATTTTCTGGCATCATCAGCTAAATGTATGAGACAGTGGGTGTTGTAGACCAAGTTTTCTGTTTCATGTAACTTCAAAATTGGCAACATAACAGTTTTCCAGCATAGTTGCAGTATTTACAGCACAAAACAGGACTGAGAAGAATTCTCATTGCTATAGAGAACAACAGGAAGTTGTTGTATGTTTGTGCTGATAGTCGTTCTTGAAGAACCACTGGTACGGTGTGCAACAGAAATGGTGGGAATTCTGTTGCCTTCCATTGACTGTATTCCATCAGTAAACGGTGTTTTATTGAACAAATTCTTGGAAGGTGATTTCTGTCTGATTTCAAGTGATTATAAGTAATTTGTTACTTAAGTAACAAATGTGTGAACTTTTGACCCCACTGCTGTTCTAGCAGCATGGATTCTACCAGAAGCAATAGTAGATCTGTCACTAATAGAAAAGAAACTAGATCAATCGTACACGATAGATAGTAATTTAGTACAGTTACATTAAGACAATTATTATCAATATATTCAAATTTATAGATGCATCAAAAATAACAAGGAATAGCTTTTGTAAAACCAGAATTAAATATAAAAATAGGAAAAGGAATTTCAGATGTATTATCAGGGTAAACAGGGGAAATATTGGCAATAATATTAGCTTTACAGTCGGTAGAAGATATAAAACCATTAAAACTGTCATTTGTTCAGATTCAAGCTCTGCATTATTAAGTTTAAAATATAATCAATCAGATAATAGGATGGACATTCTATTGGAAATTTTTCATTCATTATCCGGACTAAAAATCTGTGTTTGATAGTTTTATTTGTGTGGCTTCCAGCACAGATTGGACTAGAAGGAAACCAGAGGCAGATAAATGGCAAAGAGAGCAGTTCAAAATTATTTAGGTTTACAGTTAAAACAAGTAAATCAGAGGGAAGGAGTTTTATTTAAAAAAAAACCCCTGAAAAATGGCAAAAAAAAAAGGTGGGATGAAGAAAAACCGGAAGATGGTTTTATAAAATTCAGAAGATAGATAGAAAAGGAAGAAATGGAAGCAGAATAGAAAGGTGGAGAGAGAGATAACGAGGCTAAGCAAACAGGACTTAATTAAACATGTTCTATAAATCAAAGCAAACTACTGGAACATATGAAACAACAGAACATGTTATACTGGAATATCATCAATATGAAAGAGAGAGAAGATATGAGGAGAGAGTTTGAATGAAAAGATTCATTTATTAATGAAAAGATTCATTTTTACTTTGAGGAAGAATTTGGGAAGTAAACATTTACAAATAATAATTCGATTTTTAAAGAAAACTAAATGATTTCATAGAATTTGATTATAGAGAGGGTGAATGTGTTTATCATGTAGAATATAAAGTTATGTATAAAGCATGTAGGGCTTTTTGTTTTCTTTTTTCCTTAGAAATTATAAATATGTTTATTAGTAGATAATCCGTCACGAACCACACTCCACACCAGTAGGTGGCGGTAATGCTACTGAATGTTTGTTGCCAACCGCCGTCAAATCCGACAAGAAGAAGAAGCTAATGACGTCATGAGCATTGGCTACGTGGAAGCCGGAAGTACCGCAGCTGCTTCCAGGTAGGCTTGTCCCAACAGCTGAAGGATGATGGCCGGGGACCCCGTGCTGTCCCTCCGGGTGTCCGACATTAAGGACCCCGCGGCTCTGTTCGAGCGCTACACCACCGAGGACATCCGCAGGATCGAGCGCAAAGTCTGCGGGGAGATCGAGCAGAAGAAGGAGGAGCTGAGGCAGATGGTGGGGGAGCGCTACCGGGACCTGATCGACGCCGCGGACACCATCGGGGAGATGCGCCAGTGCTCCGGGAGCCTGGTGGAGTCCATCCAGGACATGCAGCGCTACTGCCGCACGCTGAAGCAGAGCAGAGCCGGCAGGCAGGAGGTACCGCTCATCCACACCTCCACCTCACACTGCAGGACACAACGTCACTGTTTGATCTGTGTCCAGAACCAGGACCGGGACCAGAACCAGGACCAGCAGAAGTTCTACACCATGGCCTCCCAGATCAAGCTCCTCCTAGAAATCCCGGAGCTCATCTGGAGCTCCATGGAGGCCTCCCAGTACCTCCAGGCCACCCAGCTCTACCTGCTCTGCTGCCATCTGCAAAGCCTGCTGCAGCTGGAGGCTGCAGGGGGGCTCTACAGCCCAGTGCTGGCCCGCTTTCCCATCCTGGTCCGCCAGGTCGCCACAACCGGACACTTCAGGTACTGAGGAGCCAGTCAGTGCAGGTCACCCCCCCCCATCAGTGCAGGTCCCTCCTATCAGTGGAGGTGGTAGGACGTCTAGTGTCCCATTGTGTAACCTCTCCTTGGTGACTCTTGAATATTCCTCTCTGATTATTTTGCAACTTGCAGAGTTCGCTCCTCCTGCACATTTTTGGAGCAGTGATCTCCCCATAGTGTCCAATGTAATCCTCCCAGTGCGATAGGAGACTCGCTTTGAGGAAACTACGGTTGTAGCTCACTGGCTGCCCTGCTCTGCTGTCTGTTTTGTAGAATAAATAATCCGCAGACGAGTTATTAATCTGGAAACTGAAGGGGGTGGAGTGGTTCTCCAGCCTCAGCACTGATGGGGCATTTACATCTGGAAAGGGATCCATGAGTTGATGAGTACTGCGGGGGGGGGGGGGGGGGGGGGGGGCTGCAGGCTGACGATAATGTTCGTATCTGTGGGATTTCTAGTGTTAATGTTGGAGGCACTAGTGGACTTGAGGAAAACCGTGATGGGGAGGCTCCGTGTCTGGAGCCTGAAACCCATCAGTTATTTTTTGATTCGTTGCCCAATAACAAACCCTGAAATGTAGGAGAGCAAGCCCCTCCCCCTTTTCTTGGCCTTCCAAGCAATGCTTTGCAAAGTCCTGAAGTTTTGCCTCCCCATATAAAACAGTTGCTGGAAGCTTTGCTCATTTCTAAGGAGGAAACAGACGAGGCGCTCTGTGCTCTGCTGGCAGGGTGCTGAGACTGACCGCCTCATTCTGGTTCCTTTCTAACTCTGATACACCTCCACAGGTCGACCATCCTGCTGGACAGCAGGTCTCTCCTCCGGGGCCGCGCCGTGTCCGACCAGGCCATCGCCGAGGCGCTGGTCTCCACCATGCTGCTGGAGGGCAGCTCGCCGCGCCAGGCTCTGGCTGACTTCCTGTTGGCCAGGAAGGCCTCCATCCATCAGCTGCTGAACCAACCACAGCACGGTACGGTTCCTCTATTTACCAAATGAAACAAAAACATGATAGCAGGAGGATCAGATCTCTGAGCTGAGAACGGGTCCAGCTTTAGGGCGGGACCTATGAAGCCGTTAACGGGTCACACGGTATCACGGTAGCGAGGCCTTGGCCGTCATCAATTTTGGCCCCTCCCCTAAATGAATCACGTCTCGACACGCCCTTCGGGGAAACGCCCCCTCCATTACTCGACTCGCGCTTAGAAACCTGGTCTCATCTCATGACATCACTACCTTTTAGTAAACAGGCAGGAAAACTGGAAGGTAATCAGACTAAAGGTGGAATTCCTCCAGTTACCTTGAATTACCTGTTTGGTCGTCACTTTGTAGACGTGTGATTCTAAGCCAGTGATTGTACTCCAGGTGCTGGGATCAAGGCCCAGGTGTGCAGCCTGGTGGAGCTGCTGGTCACCACGCTCTTCCAGGCCTATGCTGTCTTCTACCTTCCTCCTGACGGGGCCCTCCGGCCAGCAGAGGGAGCTCTCAGCTGTGGGATGCTCTTCTCCACCTTGGAGAATGTGACCTCCTCCAGTCCTGCAGGTAAATCTTCCTCTGCTTCCTGCTGGAAGTGGAAGGAAGGCCTCTGAAGTCTCCTCTGTCCTCAGGGAGGGGCAGGAAGGTTCTGCAGGAGGAGTGGAGCACCGGCGGCTGGTTCCGGCACCTCCCTCCATCCATCACAGAGTTCCAGCCCAGCCTGCAGAGCCTGGCTCAGCCCATCCTGACGGAGCAGCTCCGGGACACCCTGCAGCAGTGGATCAACACGTGAGGAACCTCCTCCCCAATCATACTGGGTTTACTGGGAACACCACTGTGAAGCGGGAGGGAAACGGTTCTTTGATCCAGTTCTTTGACTAGGCCACTGTGAGCCGGTCTGGATCTACAGGCTTTCCTTCGGTCGCATGGAAGTGCAAAATAATAATATTAATTTATCTGAGACGAGCTGGGGGGGGGCGGCGTTAATTTCATCAACGATGACGAAAATATTGAAGACGACGAGACGATAACGCACAAAAATAGTTTCCAGAAAATAAAAATATGACAAAAATAATTATTAATTATTATTAATAATTATTTTCGTCAACGAGACTAAGACAGATAAAATTTACGATCCATTGACGGATAGACATTAAGAAATGTTATTGTTTATAATTCATTTGTAATTGTTAATAAGTGTGTCTTAAACTTCAGAGAAGATTCGGCGTTCTCAACAAACGGATTTCCTTAAATACTTTAATTGTTGTCATTTTCCTCTTGAGGAACTAGAGGAAGCAGAACAAACTTTAGAGTCTGTCCTCTCAGTCCTGCTGTCCATAAAGGAGGAGATCAGCAACCTTACTGTGAGGGATTGCTGAAGAGTCAATGAGTCGATGCAATCAGCTGGTTTTCCTTAGATAGAAAACTTTGAATCAATCTGACTGGATGATCTGGTGAACTGGAAAGTGACCTGAGATGACATGATGGGAATTGGAGCTATAGAAATAAACTGAATAGAATTAAAAGCTGTAGCAAAGCATTCTGGGATATATCTGCTCATCTAGTGACCGTGGATGATCACTACCTTCCAACGGTCACTGTCGGAAATTTGGAGTCTGCTCCGTTTTCGTCCACTAGACATTTGGAAACTCATTTAAAATGGCAGAAGCTCCATATAGTGACTCAGCTGTTGGCTTAAAGGTGCTGAAGGGTGCAAACCCACAATGCATTGCGGTGTGACATCACACTGCTAGGCTCTGTACCCCAACCTTGACCATGTAGCTCTAGTTGGACCAGATGCTGTCAGTCCCAACAGGCCCACTGCTTAGTACTCTCCATCCACTGCTCTGCCCCGCCCCTCGGCATAATGCTGCCACCACCGTGTTTCTCTGTGTGAATGTTTGTTCCTGCTGATGTTGAGTGAGCAGGGCAGCGCCCCCTGATGGTTTCTTGTAGCGGTGGCTTCTCCTGGATCCGTGGCGCTCCTCCAGGGTCTCCTGGTTAAGACAGCTGGATTTTATGACATCATAGCCCTTCCTCTTCACGTTTGTTTTCGGTTTCAGCATAAAAGGTTGAAGGTTGTGAATAAAATGTCTTCCTCGTTGAGGAGATGTTTAGGATGGAAGCTAACTGAGACTAATGAGTTCATCCGTTTCTGACCTCAGCTGCAAACAGGACATCTGTCGCGGCGTCGGCGCCCTGCTGGTCTACGTGAAGAGCCTGAAGGCGCTAGCCGCCATCCGAGATGCCGTGTGGGACCTTCTATCCTCAGACTCCATCAGTCAGCACTGGGGGAGCATGTGCCAGCAGCTGCTGGGGCGCCCCCTGGCTGTGTGGGAGGACTTCTTACAGCAGCTCTTCCTCCAGCGCCTGCAGGTCGGTTCTCCTTCAGCTGCACAGGAACCAAAGCATTTATGGTTTGAGTTGAATCTGTTTCCGTTTCTCTAGACCATCATCAAAGAGGAAACCCAGGCCATCGCAGAGATGTCGGTGCAGCTCCTCACCTCAGCTGTGAGAGACCTGGAGGGCCCCCAGTCCTCCTCCGGCCGCGGCGCTCAGTACGAGGTGGACGTGGCGTCCTTCCTGTGGTCGGAGGCTCCGGGGGACCTGCTGAGCGATGTGGCCTGGGTCAGCGTGGCGCAGCGGGGGGGCCAGCAGCAGCAGAGGAGCGGCCTGGCCATGAAGACCCAGGCTCTGACCCCCTGTGTTCAGAACTTCTGCTCCTCTTTGGATGCGAAGCTTAAAGCGCGGCTTGATGACCTGCAGCACTACCTTCCCTCCCAGGATGCAGGTATTGCTGATTTATGCAGAGCATCAAACTGGGATTAGAGCTGCAGACATAGATCACCTCAATGTTTCATCTGAGTATCAAAGATGGCTGCAATGAAACGGGTTAGACCGGGGGGGGCTGCAGGTAGGGATGTCACCATACTAAACTTTTCAACTCGATACGGAGACTCAGGAAAATATTCGATACTCGATGCCAGAAGGATAAAAACAAAGAAAATTCTACAGAAATATTTTCATGAATAAATAAAATACAATAAATAATATTTTGAAGTTGTTTGCTGTGAACAATATTAAGCGAGCTTGATAAAAAACGTATCAAACTAAAATGAAGTGTTCCTTCCATGGCTTTGCTTTGCAGACATAATGACACGAGCCAAACTAGTTAACAAACTAAAATCATTCTCAGCAGCTGTTACAGAAAAAAAAGTCTAAACTGAAAAGTGCGTAGAATTATTCAACCACTCAGTGTTCAGAAAGAGCATGTTCCTCTATTCTGCGCTTTAGATGAATGACTGCTGATGGTAGCTCTGTATCCATAGCTGCTGCCTCCTCTCCCTCCCATCATGGAGCTCAGCCGTCATGCTGAGGAACCACTCTATGATCCAGCTGTGTTCATAAAGCTGCAGGATAGCAGCACTGGAGGCCTGGACTCCTGGTTTATCTGCAGAAGCTCCAGAACCAAATGCAGCAAGAATCACATTTAGAAGTCTAGGTTCTCCATCTTAGGGCGAAATCTGCAGACGTTAAAATCAAGGAGATTTCCACCAAAGGAAGCTATGAGGAGCCGCCAGCTGACTGACGGACTCCATCTCTGATTCTGTGCTCAGCAGGTTCCCGCTCCTCCTCCGGACCTCCTGACTCCTCCTCCTTTAACCGCTACACGGACTCCCCGGCGGTGGAGGAGGCTCTGCGGGAAGGCTGCGTCACCTGCGTTCGCCACATCCTGTTCTCCATACGCTCTGAGCTGGACCCGGCTCCGGCCCGCCTCGGCTCCGTCCTGTTCATGGCCAGATTGTGCCAGTCGCTGAGCCAGCTCTGCCCCAGCCTGAAGCAGTGCATCCTGGGAACACAGAGCTCCAGGGAGGCGGCGGTGAGTGGGACCCCCAGGCAGGGCAAGAAGCTGAGCAAATCCAAGGCTGCTGCCGAGGTCAGCCCGGAGCAGGCCAAGTGGGCGGGGCTAAAGGAGGAGCTTCTGGGCTGCAGCATGGAGGCATACCGGATCTGGAGCTCCGCCCGTGCTAAGGTCAGAGTGATGAAGTGCTGGTTGGTTCCCTGTAGCGGAGGATGCAAACTGAAGCTGTGCTTCCACAGGGGCTGACGGAGAGGTTCGCCGCCGCCCTGCTGGCCGAGTCCGCTGGAGCCGTGCTGACGGCTGCAACAGGCTGGGAAGATCTGGAGATTCAGGAAGAGTCTGAGTCCGGGAGCAACGTCACGTCAAAGATCCGCCTCCCGGTCCAGGTCAGACACCTGCCGCAGTCAGGAGGCCAGCTCGGGTTCGGTTCTGACCAGTGGTGTAGTTTATGTGATGCACGGGTATACGCTAGACCCACTAGAAAGGCTTGTGAATTTCCGTATAACCACTTAAAACGCACAATAATGCTGCGTTCACACCGGGCGCAGCAGGAGCAGCGAGTTTACATGCAAAGTCAATGGTTGACGCGCGTCTAGGCGCAGCAAAAGGTCCCGCAGCGCTTTCATGCATCTGACGCGCCGCAAACGCGCTGCTGCTCAAGATGGATAAATTGAACTTTAGCTGCTGGATATCAACCAATCAGAGCAGCTGATGTGGGAGCTGGCAGGGAGTCAGACGCAGCCCTGCTGATGCAGAGCGCTATGATCACTCCTCTGGAACAGTTTATTAACGCCTAAATTAACTTCAAATGTAGAAACCTGCCGGCAGAATATGTTGGCTTTTATTATCCTGCTGCCTGCAGTTTGGATGACGTTCATGAAAACCGCTTCCAGCCGCCGCCGCGAACCGCGAGGAGGCGACCGGGCCCGCCGGTCTGGGGGGGTCTGAGCGGCTCAGACAGAAATAATATTGGAAGGCAGGATGGTAATCTGGATGAACTGACTGCACTGATGAAGTTATCAGGTGGATTTTCCACTTAAAAACATTAAAACGACTTTATTCCCACTGATCACAGCAAATATAGCTGCAGGCAGAGAAAGGATCGAGCAGAAGCCTGAAAACCTTCAACCTCTGATCACTTGCATGCAAACCATCCCATGCAGCACAGCTGAGTGAGAAACAGGGTTCAGCTTGATGAACAATATCTGTTGTTGTCAAACATATTTCACCTGATGATGATCAGTAGAAATGAGCCTCCTGTTAATCTAATGAACTCAGGAAGTTTGTGACATCATGGTTAAGAAACCATCGCTCTGCAACAGAAACCAGCAGACGAGTGAAACAGCCTCAAAACTAACATGTCTGGAACTTTTTATAGACAGTTTTAACCTGCATAGAGCTTCTGTTCCTGCATGTAGTACTTGATACTTAATGTAAGCTCTGTTTTATAGATTCTACGTCTTTTCAGTACAAAGCCAGCTGTAGCACAGTTTGTTGATTCAAATGTAAGCAACAGAGAAATGAAGCAATGTTAAATGTTCCCATTGCACTTACTGGTGTGCTTCTTTCTAAGCACAGTTTACCCACTGCAGTAATGCAGACTGCACCACTGGTTCTGACTCTTTCCTCCCCTGCAGCCCTCCTGGTTCGTGCAGACTCTGCTGTTCCAGCTGTGCGTGGAGGTGAACAGGGTGGGGGGTCATGCCCTCCCCCGGCCCACCCTGCAGGAGCTGCTCCAGGCCTGTCTTCATCAAGCTCTTCATCATTATGGCGTCCTCTCGGAGCGAATGCGGGATGGGGTGAGTGGAACGCCAAAGGTTCTGACTTTAAAGCGTCGGCCCCTCCTCTTCCTCTGACACCCTCAATATTTTACACTTTGTCACAAAAAACACCAAGTCCAGTGTTGATGTGGATCAGAACCTCCTCTCCGACCCGTCTGCTGGGTTTCCTGGTCTCTAAAGAACCTCTGAGGCCAGAACCAGAACTAGTGAAGACGTTTCCTTAATCCGTTATAAAGCCAACCAAAGGTTCAGGCTGTGGTGTGACCACATGTGGAGGAAGTAGGAAGGCGTTGGTACGGAGCAGTCAGAAGGTACCTGCTCATCTCTCTGCGTCTCTCTCACCAGGAGGGGGCGCTCCCAGTCACCCAGAACCGAGCCCTGCAGCTGCTGTTCGACCTTCGTTACCTCAACACCACACTGAGCAGCAGGCTGGAGGAGGGGAAGACCTCCAGGTCTCAGCAGGACCCCAGGTAGGAACCTGCAGCGGGGGGGGGTTGGGTCCTACAGGTCCATCTACTTATGCTTTGACATCCTGGGAAATGATGGGAGCATCACATTTGATCAGAGTTGGATTATTTACTGTTTACGTCTGACTGAGGCTCTTTCCATTCATTTTTCAAGGTGCCATGGTGTCAGTGTTACCAATTCAATTATTCTATTCAGTTTATTTCTATAGCTCCAATTCATCTCAGGTCACTTTCCAGATCAACCAGATCATCCAGTCAGATTGATTCAAAGTTTTCTATCTAAGGAAAACCAGCTGATTGCATCGACTCATTGACTCTTCAGCAATCCCTCCCACTAAGGTTGATGGTTTTGTTGATGGGGTTGCTAGCAGCATCTGAGGTAGTCATGGATGTTAGATCCAGTTCCAACCAGGTTATTTAAGGAGGTATTCCCTTTGATCTCCTCCTCCATTTTAGATGTGATTAATCTATCTCTGTTACAGGGATATGTACCTAAAGCTTTTAAGATTGCTGTAATTAAACCTCTGCTTAAGAAACCGTCTCTTGACCCAGATGACTTGGTCAATTATAGACCTATATCCAATCTTCCTTTCTTATCTAAAATTCTTGAGAAAGTAGTTGCCAAACAAGTTTGCGATCACTTCCACCATAATGAACTTTTTGAAGAGTTTCAGTCTGGCTTTAGAGCTCATCATAGCACTGAAACAGCTCTGGTGAAAGTCACTAATGATATTCTCATGGCCTCAGATAATGGACTTGTATCTGTGCTCGTCCTGTTGGATCTCAGTGCTGCATTTGATACAGTTGACCATAATATTCTTTTAGAAAGACTTGAATATTTTGTTGGAATTAAAGGAACAGCTCTAGACTGGTTTAAATCTGATCTATCTGATCGAATTCAGTTTGTTCATGTTAATGATAGATCTTCAACACGCTCAAAGGTTACCTGTGGAGTACCACAGGGATCAGTGCTAGGACCAATTCTCTTTACTTTATACATGTTATAGTCTTTGGACCAGGTCACTTTCTGGTCCTAGAGAGACTTCTGGTGGTTCACCTCAGCAACCAGACAAGCAGCAATTAGGACCCCCTGCAGTTCGCTTATCGCCATGGAGATGGGGTTGATGATGTCATCATCCACCTGCTTTAATCAACCCACTGTCATTTAGCCAAGGCAGGCAGCACTGTGAGGATCATGGTCTTTGATTTCTCCTGATTCAGCCTGACTGACTGTGAGAGAAACTCCAGCAGACTCAGGTGGAGCATCAACAACCAGCTGGATCAAAGACTACCTGACAGACAGACCACAGCTTGGTAGACTGAAGGCTCAGCTGGCTGATCCAGCAGCACAGGGGACGGTACTCTCTCCATTCCTCTGTTCACCTCTGGCTTCCAGGACCAGACAGAGTCCTGTCATCTGCAGGAATCCTGGGATGACTCTGCAGTCATTGGGAGCATCAAAGATGGAGCAGAAGCTGAGGACAGAGAGCTGGTGAAGCGCTTTGTGGCATGGTGTGGAAACAATCATCTGATCCTGGAGGTCAACAAAACAAAGAGATGATCTCAGAAGAAACAGGAACAAGTTGAATCCTGTTAACATCCTGGGAGAAGAAGTGGAGGAGTAGAAATCCCTCGGTGTTCACCTGGACATCAACCTGGACTGGAGACACAACCTGAAAGCCGTCTGCAAGAAGGGACAGAGCAGACTGGACTTCTAGAGGAAGCTGAGGTCCTTCAGAGGCTGCAGATCTTCTATCAGTCTGCTGAGGAGAGTCTGGTCTCTGATTAGGTCCCTGGAAATGTGTTTAATGTGGTGAAATATTGAGGAGGACTGAACTCTGTAGAGTCATGGAGCGGTGGCTCCAGGTCAGCAGGGGGCAGTATGGCTCCCTCCGATGCTGGTTTCTTCAGGAGTTTCTTTAACATCTTTAAAATGATTCTGTTTCTCTTTCCTAGATTCCTCCAAATCTGTGATTGGCTGGAAAGCTTCATTGATCCATTCGACCTGGACGTCTTTACGCCTCCACTGAACGCCAACCTTAACCGGCTGAGCCAGAGGACCTCGGTACAGCTAAACATGCATCACAGCTCGGCCCTGAACCGGTCGGTCTCAGAGCTCGGCCCTGAACCGGTCGGTCTCAGAGCTCGGCCCTGAACCGGTCGGTCTCAGAGCTCTGCCCTGAACCGGTCGGTCTCAGAGCTCGGCCCTGAACCGGTCGGTCTCAGAGCTCGGCCCTGAACCGGTCGGTCTCAGAGCTCGGCCCTGAACCGGTCAGTCTCAGAGCTCGGCCCTGAACCGGTCGGTCTCAGAGCTCGGCCCTGAACCGGTCGGTCTCAGAGCTCGGCCCTGAACCGGTCGGTCTCAGAGCTCGGCCCTGAACCGGTCGGTCTCAGAGCTCTGCCCTGAACCGGTCGGTCTCAGAGCTCGGCCCTGAACCGGTCGGTCTCAGAGCTCGGCCCTGAACCGGTCGGTCTCAGAGCTCTGCCCTGAACCGGTCGGTCTCAGAGCTCGGCCCTGAACCGGTCGGTCTCAGAGCTCTGCCCTGAACCGGTCGGTCTCAGAGCTCGGCCCTGAACCGGTCGGTCTCAGAGCTCGGCCCTGAACCGGTCGGTCTCAGAGCTCGGCCCTGAACCGGTCGGTCTCAGAGCTCTGCCCTGAACCGGTCGGTCTCAGAGCTCTGCCCTGAACCGGTCGGTCTCAGAGCTCTGCCCTGAACCGGTCGGTCACAGAGCTCTGCCCTGAACCGGTCGGTCACAGATCTGTCCTAAAGCAGTCAGAGAGGTCCTACAGATCAGCCTGTAAGCTGCCTGTTTTTCTGCCTGCTGTGTTTCAGGTGCTGCTTGGCCTCCTGATCGGCTCAGAGAAGCAGTTTGCTCCACGGAGCGCTGGAAGCTCTCAGGAACCCTCCAACATTCTGCCCTTGGCCAGCAGTCAGATCAGGTGAGAACCAGGCACCCAGAACCAGGCACCCAGCTGCCTCAGCAGGTCCATAAAGACCTGTGCTTCTCCAGCAGGGTCACTCTGAGGTCTTTATGGAGCTGCTCGGATCACTAAAGGGGAATAATGAGGACTGATGGGCTACTTTATAAAACAATGGCAGCCAGGAAGGGACATTTTAGGAAAATAAAGATGGTTACCCTAACCCTAACCGGTAATAGTTGCTGTAATTAAACCTCTGCTTAAGAAACCGTCTCTTGACCAAGATGACTTGGTCAATTATAGACCTATATCCAATCTTCCTTTCTGATCTAAAATTATTGAGAAAGTAGTTGCCAAACAAGTGTGCGATCACTTCCACCATAATGAACTGGATCAATCTGACTGGATGATCTGGTGAACTATAAAGAGCCTTCAGATGACATGATGTGAATTTGAGCTATAGAAATAAACTGAATTGAATTAACTAAAGCTTCAAGATTTACCCTCCAGATTCTGACTGATTTCAAATTTATTAGTAGATGAAAGAACAATTCAATTATATTCAGTTTATTTCTATAGCTCCAATTCACATCATGTCATCTCAGGTCACTTTCCAGTTCACCAGATCATCCAGTCAGATTGACTCAAAGTTTTCTATCTAAGGAAAACCAAAAAGAAGCATAGATACAAAAGGCAACTGTCAGCCAGCTCCACAGGCGGCCCCGTCCAGGAAACACACAGCAGAATGATGAAATGGGGGTCCCTATGTCCTCCAGCAGTCTAAGCCTATAGCAGCAGAACTATAGAGATAGATCAGGATAACCTGAGCCACTCTAACTAGAAGCTTTATCAAAAAGGAAAGTTTTAAGCCTAGCCTTAAAAGTAGACAGGGTGTCTGCCTCACGGACTAAAACTGGTAGTTGGTTCCACAGGAGAGGAGCCTGAGAACTAAAAGATCTGCCTCCCATTCTACTTTTAGAAATTCTAGGAACCACTAGTAAACCTGCAGATTGAGAGCGAAGTGCTCTGTTAGGAACATCAGGAACAATCAGATCTCTGATATCAGATGGAGCTTGGCCATTTAAGGCTTTATATGTGAGAAGGAGGATTTTAAATTCTATTCTGGATTTAACAGGAAGCCAATGAAGAGAAGCCAGGATAGGAGAGATATGATCTCTCTTTTTCATTTTCATCAGAACTCTGGCTGCAGCATTTTGGATCAGCTGAAGGCTTTTAACTACAGTTTGTGGACTTCCTGATAGTAAAGAATTACAATAGTCCAGCCTTGAAGTAACAAATGCATGGACTAGTTTCTCAGCATCACCCCTGGACAGGAGATTGCTCATTTTTGCAATATTCCTCAGATGAAAGAAGGAAATTCTAGAAACCTCTTTGATCTGGGATTTAAATGACAGGTCCTGATCAAAAATAACACCAAGATTTTTTACTTTATTATCTGAAATCAGTTTAATCCCATCCAGATGAAGTGACTGACTAGATTTGATATAGGTCAGAATCTGTGCTGTAAGTCAGATTCAAATGATTTATCTATTTCATTTTGTTTACATTTCTTTCCTGAACACAATGAACCTCATTTAGCGGCCGATGTGGCAGAAAATGGCGTCTCAGAGGTGGTGGCGTTTAGCACGGATTGAAAGGCAATGGGGCTGATTTCCAGCAGGGGGCAGCGTAGCTCAGCCTGAGATCTATTTCAGGATTAATTAGTGGGTCTAAGAGGAAGAGAAAACACATCCGCTTTGGGGCAAAATCCAGAATAAAATCTGTTAATCTGACAGTGAAAGAGTCAGTCATCCATATACAGGAAGGATAGACTAAATAAATAAATGGAGAAAGGAGAAACTCCAGTTTTTAGAGTTAATCCTAACCTCCACGGTGGGTTTTTAATCTGTTCTCTGCCTTTAGAACCTTCTGGTTGTGGATTTTAAAGTTGACCTTTTTATGCAGATGAAGCTTCTCAGTCATCCAGGTCAAGGTCATTCTGTTAAAGTTTAAAAACAATCCACTGGACTTTGTTTCCCAGGTTTGAAGACGTTTCGCTTCCTCTATTGTAATGTCTGGATCCGCAGTGAGTCTCTATAGAGACCAGGCTGGTATCGCTTGGAAACATGCTAATGGAAACCGTGAGCAGAATGGTTGGAAGGACGGGCAAAGAATGGAGTGTAAAAGGAATATTAGGAAATGAAGGATAATAAAGTATATTTACAGATTAAGGAAAGCATTATTTACCTTGGTTTCCATTAGCATGTTTCCAAGCAATACCAGCCTGGTCTCTATAGAGACTCACTGCGGATCCAGACATTAGAGCTGAGAAAGCTTCCTGGATGGGAAGCCAAACGTCTTCAAACTTGGGAAACCAAGTCCAGTGGATTGTTTTTAAACTTTAACGGATTGACCTTTTTATGTTGTTAAATGAAAAGCTTCTTCCCTTATTGGGCTGGAAATGACCATTATCTATTTAAACTGGGTAGAATGGACCTACGCCAGAGCAACTGGTTTCAGAACCATTCTGGTAAAACCCTCAGACCAGCAGGCCGACATTTGGTCATCAAAGGTCCAGAACTGTAGGAAAGACATGTTAAAAAAAAAAAGGTTTTTGGTAACCGTGGTAACTTATGACTGGACTGAATGGAGCCAGTGATCTGGTCTGATGATCACTGCGTCGGGTCCCTGTGGTTCCCGTGGTTCCTGTTTTTCTGTGTTTCCTGTAGTCCCTGTGGTTAATAAAGCGGTTCTGATCCTTAGTCCTCCGTCTTGTCTTGCAGGTTCGGGTTGCTGCCTCTCAGCATGTCAAATGCTCGAAAGTCCAAGTCGTCCTCCAGGGCGTCTGAGGCGTCCCAGAAGCTGGTAAGTTCTGCTGGGACCTTTGGGCCTTTTGGACCTCGCCTGTGGCGCCGTTTCTCCTCCCAGAGGTTCTGAGATTGACGCCTGCAGGCAGGTTGATGGGAGAAGTTCTGCTGTCTGGTTTGCTGTGCTGTCAGAGCAGGAACCGCTTCTCTTCTTCTCTGCATCCTGACGTTTGCTGGAAGCTGCAGAATAAACTAACAGATTTGGTTCCAGCCTTAGAAACGGACCAGCAGATCCCAGTGAGGTCTGGAATGATCCAACTGGACCTGCTGGTTCCGCCATGAAATGAGCTGGGTTTCAGAGCAGCAGG